ACGCGAAGGGTTGCCTAATTGCACATTCTGCGCTAATGTCGGCACTGCCCTGCAGGCACTTGATCCGCCGCGACGAGAAAACATGTTTACCTTCCGAGGGGCGAGAGCATTATCATGGCGAGCGGGCCATTAAGGGGAGCGCACACACGGCGTTTATCATGCTTTTTCTCGCCCTCGGAGGAAGCCGAGATTGCGATGTGGGCGGCGGTGGAGTTGCCACTTCTTGCTGCGCCCTCGAGGGGTTGGGCGGGGTGGCTCGCAGGGCATGTCCCGGGATAGCGTGGGTATGCAGACGTACATGTCCATACGCAGGTCCACATGCCATGGTCAGGTCCGAAAGGTGATGCCGGAGTAGGTGCCGTGGCCAAGAGAGAGCAAGAGAGAGGGAGAGAGAGAGAGAGAGAGGAGAAGAGAGAGAGAGAGAGAGAGAGAGATATCCCGCATTGTTCTCCCGGGCTCCGAGGGAAGGTTCTTCGCAAACACTAGCAGTGATCAAGTCCGGGCGAGTCGGCGCGGCCATTGTCTTTCCACCTCTCCTTTCTTCCTTCCCCCTTCCCCTTTCCCCTTTCCTGCCTATTCCCATTCCTTTCTGCTCCACCCCACCACACTTCACCTCCCATTCAGCAGTTGCCATGAAAAGCGGCTTGCAAGTCTTGCTTTCGATTGCTTGTTGCGCTTGCACGCAAGGCGCTGGGGGGGGGGGAGAGAGGGGGGTGTTGCCGCCTGGTGGTCGATGTGCTGTCATAGAACTAGTCATTGTCACGGCGTGAGTGACGCTGCCACACCGGAACCGGCCAGAGAAGGTTTTTGCTGGCAGCCTTTAGCACTCGCCCTTCCCCTGCCCCCCCCCCCCCTCGCCTCCCTGCGCGCGCTCCTCCCTTGCCCGCTCCACGCCAGCGTAATGGCCCGACAAAAGATTCATTAGCTGTCGTTTAATGGCGAGCGAAAGGGCGGAACTGGCTCATCGGCGGGCACTGCGGGCACGTCGCGGCGGCGGCGCTTCGACGACGCCGAGCGGGGCGGGAAGGCGCTGCCGCCGCGGGTGTGGGGTGGGTTGTGTGCCCGCAGGCGAAATGGACAGGAACGCGAGCTGTGGGGTTGAGGGGTATAGTGCTTGTAGATGACAGCGCCAGGGAAGAATACGGAGACATGCCTTCATTATTGTTATTAATTGTTTCTCCCGTTAATTGAAACATACAGACCAACACGAGTTAACGCGAGAGAAAGATAGGCAACCGGCCCTAACCGACGGACAGAGACAAAGAGAAAGAAAGAAAAGAAAACAGCACCGGATGAACGGTGGTCAGACGAGTTCGAAAATGATGCCAAAGTATGCTGACAATGTGCTTGAGGAGCGGGGTGGGGGGGGGGGGCTTATGGGCGGGGATGCTGTGCCGACTCTTTCCTGCGCGACCTGTTTGGGCGGCGAGGCAGGCGGCCTTTTTCTTCTGGCCATTTAAAGCCTTTCTCTACAGTTCAGGATTTCGACTCCACTGCATCCGGGATCGGAGTGGCAGGCGTTCCGAAGGATGGGTTGCCGGGTGGGCGAGGAGCGGGCGGCGGAGCGAACGCGACCTCCTGTCCCGCCCTCGCTGACACTTCCATTCGACTTGAAGAACAAAAACATTATCAGCTGATCCAGACTCCTTGTCACAACTCACCACACATACTCACACACACACACCAACACACAACACACACACACACACACACACACACACACACACACACACACACACACACACACACACACACACACACACACACACACTCACACGACGAGACGCCGTGTCTCCAGGCGGGGCATCACCTGGTGTTTGCTGACGTTGCTATGGCCAGGTTAATTTCCCGGGGGCGCGGGAGGCGGGAAGCCCCGGGCGAGGCGAGTGGCCATGTGGCTGTGGCGGCCGTGCTGCGTGGGTGTGGGGGATGGGCGGTTTTCTCTCCCGTTTCCCCGCGGGACGGAGGCTGTGGGTAGGCCTACGGTGTCTCCGTAATGGCGGTGCCAAGAGAGCCTTGTTCTCGGGCCAGCTTTTCTACATGCCTTCTCTGTTTTCTTTCTTCTCCTCTCCGCCGTCCTCGCCCGTACCTCCCCCTTCTCCTCCTCCTCCTCCTCCTCCTCCTCCTCCTCCTCTCCTCCTCCTCTTTACTTCTTTTTTTGTTTTGTTTGTTTTTTATTGTTTTTTCTTTCCTTATATTCCTTCATCATCTTGTCCTTGCTGTTTAATCTTTTCTTCCTGTTCTTCATTTTCTCCCTTTTCTTCTTTTTCCTCCTCCCCCCTCTCCTCCATCCCCTCCTCGCGGCTTTCTCCTCCTATCTTCCCGCTCTTTTTTCCTCTTCCTTCTCCTCACATTTCTCTTCATGTTCCCAAGTCACATTGCCTCTGTCTAATATTCTCCGCATCTCACCTTCCCTTATCATCTTTCCTCCTTTCTCCCTTGCCTGTCCTCTCCTCTCTTTCCCTCTCCCTTCCCCCTCTTCCCTTTCCCCTCTTCCCTTCCCTCCCCCCTTTCTTTCCCTTTTCCCCCTCTTCCCTTTCCCTCTTCCCTTCCCTCCCCTCTTCCACGTCCCCGGCGGCGCTTCTGCCGTAGCTTTCGCCGTCATTTATTCATGGCGTAATTAGGATCTGCGGCTGGCCATTGGGTAATTATCCTCGCCTTGATCAGTGCGCGTTTACAGAGCGAGATCCTTTGATGGGCCTTTGCTTGTGAAAGATATTCTCTCTCTATTTAACTTTCTCTCCCTCTCCTTTCCCCATTTTCTGTCACCTTTTTTGGCCTCCATTCTCTTAATAGCATCAAGGAAAGCACGGAACACGCGGCGCTGTCCTGCGCTGTGCATGGGAGGAAGCGGAGGGTGAAGGATGAAGCAAGAGGATTTTTGGAGAGAGGGGGAAGAGGAGGGAGATGGGGCGGAGGGGGAGGAGGAGAGGAGAGGAGGGGGGGGATGGCTGGGCTTTAAAAAGAACCTTAAAGAAAAGCGGAGGAGGAAGAGACGAAATAATTGATAGAGGAGGAAATATGAAATAAGAAGCAAGGGAAATTTCAAGACGAAAAGGACATGAAATAAAGGGGGCAAAGTGGAATGAAAGGGTCTCAGCGAGAAGTCCCGGTCCGAGAGGCGGCAGAAAGGTGCAGTTGAAACACATTATAGTCCAGGTCGCGCTGCCTTGGTTGACGCGACCGTCTGAAAGATATGCTTGTTTATTTATCTTTGGTAATTTATTTGTATTATAGGCTTTGTATAATTATATCAGAGGCCATGAGCTCTGCAGAATGCCATGAGGGTGCCGGGTCCACTGGTGGTGCTCTCTGCCTCTGCCTATGCCCTGGCCCCCTCTGCCCTGGCCCCTCTGCCCTGGCCCTCTCCCCTGGCCCCCTCTGCCCTGCCCTCTCCACTGGCCTCTCCTCTCCGCTCCCTTGCCACCCGCGCAGCACCTATGCCCATTCATCCTGCATTTCTGTTCCTCTTACCCCTCCTACTCTCGCTTCCTTCCCTTCCTTTCATTCCCTTTTTCCCCCCCCCCTCCTTCCCTCCCCATCTTTTCCCTTCCTCTCCCTTTCCCTCTTTTTATCCCTCTCCCTCTCCTTCCTTCCCCCTCTCCCTTCTTCCCTCCCGCCCTCTCCGCCTCTTCCTCTCCGTCTCTGTCAGAAACTTTGATAATTGTTTAGACTGTACTTGGGATAACGCGTTTTGCATATTGCGTGTGGCGTCCGGTTTTCCTTTTAGAAATGCTTGGAAGCGGCTCCCCCCCCCTCCCCCTTACGCAGCCGAGCGCAATCGGCCTGTAACTTCGGGAGGTTCGTTCAGTCGGGCGAGAGCGCCGCTCGGGCCAGGCTTCCGCGCCGTTGGACTTCGAGGTCGAGGGTCCTCTCGATTTGTATTCCATGCCTTATTCTTATTTCGTAAACCTGTCTCCTCATCATCTTCCTTCTATTTATTTCCATTTTCCATTCTTTCCTTTAGTTATTACCTTTTCCACCGATCATCACATCCTTGTCTTATTCTCCCTTTCTCTCATTCTCATTCTTCTTCCTTTCCTTTCCCTCATACATTTCCCTGCACTTCTTCTCCTCGTGTCTCCTATCCCCGGGTCGTCCTCTTCCTCGCCCGTGTAAAGAGGCAAACCCGTTAGAACAGTTATGTTGCAGCTATCAGCGTTTACCAGCCGCTGTTGCAAGGAATAGCAACCTGGGGAGTAGAGTTAACAAGGGGAACTATCGGAGTCTAACTTAGTAACTTTTGCGATTATTGAAGATGGAATGTCACGAATGCAAACTTTTTTAGTTTGCAATTTGCATCGCGGAGCCCGGGCTGGAATAGCAACCTGGAGGTAGCCAGGCAGAAATACACTGGAATTGGCACTAAGTATGGACGGAAATTGCCCTTCTCCATCGGCAGAAGGGGGGGGGGGCAGTCTTGTGAGCAGTGTCGCTCGTGGGAGACAGCGATCGGGAGGGAGGGGGGGGGGGGGGACCTTCCTTCCCGGAAGCCATTTGAGCTTTCGGAGTGTGATAGTTGAAGGGGGAGGGATACCCCCTTTCCTGAGAACAGAGGGACCTGCGGGCGGCGAGAGGGAAGAACTTGGGCGCCATTGAGAAAGAGGAAGAGTCGGATTAGAGTCGCGACACAGGAACAACGACAGCGAAACGCGACCCGACCCAAGGCGGATTGATCTGCGGGGCCCGCGCGTGTGTAATCCAACGCCGCTGCTTCGTGGAGAGCGACCGAACCTCCGGGGGTGGGGTCTTGGCCACGTCCATCCGCCGTGGGGCGGCAGCGGCTATTGGGCTCGTCGCACCTGGAGGGCATGCGGTGCAGAGGAAGGGTAGAGACACGGAAAAACTACAGGCACACACTCCGTGTCATTGTATGTATGTTTGTATATATTTGTGGACGAGAGTGAGTGAGTGAGATAGAGGGAGGCTCATTTCCACGGCCTTTTCGGCGCTTGCAAGCATCAAGAGAAAGTTGCTGGAGCTGCCTCGGCTGGCCCGCCATGTACGCGCGGCGTTTCCCAGCGGCTCAAGTAGTTGTTGGCAGGTAATTAAAGTCCATCTTGTGCCTGCGGAGCCCACGGCCCGCGGCCATTATTATGTTGATGAGGGTAAACCACATGTTTGCCCGGCGTTTAATTTTTATATGAGGCCGACGGTGTGTATTGATCCGAGGCCGGGCCGCTGTCCGCCCTGGCCGCTTGGTCGCCGCTCGGCTGTCACTGTTGCTGTCTCCGTTGCGCGGGGTGGCACGCCGATTCTGCTGTTGCGGAAGATACTGTTGTTTCTCGGCTGGGGCGAGATCAGCCGCCCGGGGAGGGAGAGGCAGAAGGGCGAAGAAGATTTGGGCGTCCAGGGAAGCATCTGTTGCTACTCGAGGCCGAGGAGGAGGAGGAGGGGAAGAGGGAGGAGGAGAGGAGAGGGAGGGAGGGGGGTAGGCGGGGGTGTGATGGAGTGGACGGAAAGAAAAAAACGCGAGAGAAAGAGGTAGTCTCGGTAATGGGGTATTTCTGTGTGAATGAAAAAGGTACACGCATTCACACGATGTGAATGGAGCATTTCTCTCTCTCTCTCTCTCTCTCTCTCTCTCTCTCTCTCTCTCTCTCTCTCTCTCTCTCTCTCTCTCTCTCTTCTCTCTTCTCTCTCTCTCTCTCTCCTCTCTCTTTTTTTCTTTATTTCTTTCCCTTCTGTGTGTGTGTGTATCTGTATGTGTGTCTTTCCTTAGCAAATGTGCTTGTGGCCCGTTCCTATCTGCGAAAGCAATAGGAACGGCGCGGGGAAGGTCATAATGTGATTGTTTATCGCGTCACACGTTCGCACTTCGCCTCCGCCCACTCGTCCAGTCCTTAGCGGAAATACCGCCCTCACCCTCAACTATACCTGTCATCAATCATCCCCCCTTCCTCTTTCTCTCCTATCCCCCTTCCCTTTTCCCCTCTATCCCCTTCCTCTTCTCTCTCCTATCCCCTTCCCTTTTCCCTCTCCTTCCATAACTTCCATAAACGTTTGGGTTGTCGCTCGCCTGAAGCTTTCTTCGGGATTGTCACTCGGCAGACAGTACGACAGTTCCACACCACCTTCCCCTTACTCCTTCGCCGTTTCTTTTGATTCCCCTTCTACCTCCCCCCCCCTTTCCATTTACCCTTATTTCCTTTCCCACTCCCCTCCCTCTCTTTCCTCGCCCTTCCTCTTTTCGCTCCCCCTCCCCCCCGTCACGTCCTTCGGTTGTGGACGCTGGTCTTACGCGAACGCCGGCCTCGACGCGCTCTTGACGGACGCCGGAAATTTCTATATCTACTCGGGAAACTGAACAGTGTAATTGTTATTTATTTTTATTATTATTTTTTTGCGTAAACGGTATATTTGGAAATTCAGGCTGATATTTAGTGTCCGGCAGCCAGGTATGGGCATGGCTCTTCTGGCGGTTATTTTGCTCTTTTGTAAAGGTATGTATGCGGAGAGACTGCACCGTGTTTCGTCTCTTTTCTCTCTCTCTCTCTCTCTCTCTCTCTCTCTCTCTCTCTCTCTCTCTCTCTCTCTCTCTCTCTCTCTCTCTCTCTCTCTCTCTCTCTCTCTCTCTCTCTCTCTCTCTCTCTCTCTCTCTCTCTCTCTCTCTCTCCCTCTCTCTCTCTCTCTCTCCCCTCTCTCTCTATCTCTCTATATCCATTCAGTCATCCATTCATTCTCACACGGAGTCGTTCCTAAGACACACTAGCTCACTCTTGGCTGATGTCCTGAGAATCCCAAACTTTTAATTGAAATTTCAGCCGCGACTTGTACCTCCGTCTTGGAATCTCAAAAAGAAAAATGGAAAGTTTGGAAGCGTATAAGATTCTCCTTATGAAATTGGAGAGGCTCTGGAATGTGGGTACGTGCGGGAGGAGGAGGAGGAGGAGGAGGAGGCTGCGAGTGCGACTGGAAAGAGAAGAGAGGTGCTGCTGGAAGCCCCTCTGATAAGAAACCTGAATATTTCGCGAGCCACAACGATTTCCAGGGATTTTCTTTAAATAATTTATATTGAATGTGTGATTAGACTGAACTTTGTCAGTAATGATATTCGATTGTATGCGTGAGGAGATTGAACGGTTTTGCCACCGCAATTTACGTCGGTGAGTTTTTGTGTGCATTTCGCTTGTGCTATTCGAGTACCTAATAGTGTCCTTTTGTCCCATTTCAGGCGCGGAATGATGCGTGGAGTATGAGCATAGGAAGTTTGGTGTCGGGGGTGACTCCCCCCGGAGGCCCGGGAGGATGCGGCGTGCCCTGGGTGCGGTGGCGAGGCCCCCTGCTGCTGGCGGCCCTGGTGCTGGCGGCCGTCAGCTCAGCCGCAGGGGGCGGTGACGCCGAGGGGCGCGACTCGCTCTTCATCGTAGAGCGCTTCGAGGACGACCGATGGCAGGAGTTCACGCACCTCACGGTCGACAAGAACACGGGCACCGTGTACGCGGGGGGCGTGAACCGGCTCTACCAGCTGGACCCGAACCTGCGGCGCCTGCAGTACGTGATGACGGGCCCCGTGAACGACTCCGTGGAGTGCTCGGCCAGCGACTGCAAGGGCGAGACCATCCAGAACATGAAGGCCACCAACAACGTCAACAAGGTGCTGGTGATCGACTACACGCGCTCGCGCCTCATCGTGTGCGGCACCGTGCGGCAGGGCTCGTGCCAGGTGCGCGATCTGCGGGACATCACGCAGCTGACCCGCAACGTGAGTGAGGCCATCGTGGCCAACAACGCCACGGCGTCCACCGTGGCCTTCATCGCTCCGGGGCCGCCCAACCCGCCCGTCACGCACGTGCTCTACATCGGCGTGACGTACACGGGCAAGTCCGTGTACAGGGACGAGGTGCCGGCCGTCGCCTCGCGCTCGCTCGAGGACAACCGCTTCTTCGACATCGCCGTGACCGACGTGACGACGAGCACGCGGATGCTGGTCAACTCGCTGGCGCGCGAGCGATACCCCATCACGTACGTGTACGGCTTTGGCTCGGAGAAGTTCAGCTACTTCCTCACGCGGCAGATGGAGGACACGGACGCGGGGTCTCCGTACATCAGCAAGCTGGTGCGAGTCTGCCAGAACGACTCGGCCTACTACTCGTACACGGAGATCCCCATCGAGTGCAAGGACCAGCAGGGCAAGCGCTACAACCTGGCGCAGGCGGCCTACGTGGGCAAGCCGGGCACCGACCTGGCCACGCAGCTGGGCATCCAGACCAACGACGACGTCCTCTTCGCCGTGTTCTCCCCGTCCGACCCCACCGAAGGGGAGGGCTCGCCCCGGCCCGCCGACAGCAGCGCTCTCTGCGTGTACAGCATGAAATCCGTCAGACGCATGTTCATCAACAACATTCAGGAATGTTTTAGAGGCAAAGGCGACCGAGGACTCAACTTCATCTCTCCGTCGCACCACTGCATCGAGACGGTAAGTTCCGACGTCCAAGTTCCACTTAAACTGATCTGAGTAGAGAAGACGAGCGGGTTTCACGTGATAGTCAGCAGCCGTGTTAGCGATTGTCCTGCATTTGAAGGTCATTCTTCTTGCATAGCCCTCCCCACTCGCGCAGGTAGTGTTCAGAAGAGAAGCCTGGCATTCGGTATTCAATGGCTGTGAAAGAAAACGTGTCTAGACCTCATTACTAGATGTAATAGTAACCGGCAAGGCTTCAAGTGTGCATAGTCGCCGTAATCCCCAAATAAACTAATGTTTTATCTTTGTCGTTAAAATGCATTTCAGTCGCGAATTTAATGGGTTTACATGCACCCAATACCCTTGCCTCCCCTTTCACGGACGACAAAGGAAGAGCAGCCTTTTTGCCATTCAGGGCGAGCATAAAGCCAAACTCGATTTCCTATTGAGAAGCTCTTCGTAGATTTGTGTGTAACGGCAAGTCGTAACTTCCTTCCCGTGTAATTGCAAAGACAGAAAAGCAATATAAAGAAATGGAGAGGGGAAGAAGGGGTTCAAAATGACGTTTTAAACGTGTATTGCATTCAAAAAAGTTTCAGAAGTAAGAGTAACCACTGCGCGCATATTTTGCATGTTGTCTCTGTAGTTACTAAAGCAACAATGTTAAATCGATATCTCTTTGGTAGAATATGCTCTGTATTGAATATTATTACAGTATTATTGGTCTCGTGTCTTATTTTTGAGTGCTTGTCTCTTGTATGCTTTTAAAACGTAAAATCCAAAGAGGCGGAGGAGGATTGGGGACAAGTTTCTTTACATATTTCTAAGCATGGTCTGAATTGTGGTCAAAGAGGGAGGGTAAGGGGGGGTGGGGGTCCAAGAGCTCTCGCATGACCCGGCTGCCTTTTGTCTGGGAGAAATATTGACCTCGATTGAGTTGCTTGCCGGACCTGTTACTGGCAGGCGGCAGGTCTTGGGCGTGCTGGAGGTCGAGCGTGTGTGTTTTTCTCCATTCTTTGCCTTGGGGGAGACGGGGTGGGGGGTGGGGGGGGAATCTCTGCTCTGCGATGGGATTGCTAGAGTTTAGGTCTTTCAAGGTCGCACTTTTTGTTTTGGAGGGAGTGTTTTCTTTGCTCTTCTTTCTAATATATTTTTTTATCCTTTCATAGAACAAAGTGGACTAAAACTAGCTTTTAAGGTTATTCATTAACTTTTTTTTTACTTCGCTCCCTTTGTGGATTGGTGAGTCAAGGGGGAAGTTTGATAGGCGGGGAAAGTAGAAGAAAGAAAGAATGGGAGAAGAAATAACCCGAGATAAGGATCTTTGTCGAAGTAAAGTTTGCGAGCCAGGAGGCCGCCCAAAGGAAGTGCGAGGAGTGCATCCTCTCGTGGGAAATTGTTTTTTTTTTTCTATACATGGGCGTGGTTTAGGTGATGGTCAGGCTGCAGGTCGTGGCTTGCAGGTTGCAGGCTGTCTAGTTGGCAGCGTGAGGACCGACCGCCCCCCCCTTCTTCCCCTTCCCTCCCTCGCTGGCTGTGGTGATCAATAGGTAGCCTCAGCTGTTGCTCCTGCCCGGGCTCACCTGCCTGTCTGTTGTCGCGGCTGCGGCTCGCCTCCGCCCCTCCCTCTCGCCCTCCGCCCCTCCCTCTCGCCCTCCGCCGCCTCCCTCTCGCCCTCCGCCCCTCCCTTCGCCCTTCCGCCCCTCCCTCTCGCCCTCCGCCCCTCCTCTCGCGCCCTCCAACCCCTCCCTCTCGCCTCCAACCCTCCGCCCTCCGCCCTCCCTCTCCCCCTCCCCGCTCCTCTCGCCCTCCAACCCCTCCTCTCCCCTCGCCCCTCCCTCTTCGCCTCCCCCTCCCTCCGCCCCCGCCCCTCCCTCTCGCCCTCCACCCCTCCCTCTCTCCCTCCGCCTCCCTCTCGCCCTCCGCCCACCCCCCCCCCCTCCGCCCTCCTCGCCCTCTCTCCCCCTCCGCCCCTCCCTCGCCCTCCACGCCCTCCTCTTCTCGCCTCTCTCGCCTCCACCTCCCTCTCGCCCTCCACGCCCTCCCCCTCCCTTCCCTCTCGCCCTCCCCCCCTCCCCCTCGCCCTCCACCCCCCCCTCTCGCCCTCCACCCTGCCCTCACTCTCCCCTCCACCCTCCCCTCCCTCTCGCCCTCCAACCCCTCCCCTCCCTCTCGCCCTCCAACCCCTCCCCTCCCTCTCGCTCCCCCCTCCCTCGCCTCCACCCCCCTCCCCCTCGCCTCCCCCCCTCCCTCTCCGCCCTCCAACCTCCCTCTCGCCCTCCTCCCCCTCCAACCTCCCCCTCTCGCCTCCTCCCCCTCAACATCCCCTCTCGCCCTCCTCCCCCACACCCCTCCGCCCTTCCCTCTGGCCCTCCCGCTCCTCCCTCTCGCCCTCCGCCCCCCTCCTCTCGCCCTCCCCGCCCTCCCTCGCCTCTCCGCCCCCCCCCCCTCCTCTCGCCCTCCCTCGATAAGAAAAGAGGTTGTGGCTTTCCAGTTGAATATATATTGGTTTATTTCCCTCATTCTGCCGGCTTCTCCTCCCACCCCCCACCCCCACCCCACCCCACTCGCCAGCAAATCCAACCTCGTTACAGCGGCGGCGACACGATGGCTTTTCTTCCTCCGCGAAAAGTCTCGTATTTGCGATCGTCGGATCAGAAGGAAGCCGCGCGCGCCTCTCCGTTAATGGAAAACGGCGCGCTGGAAAAGGAGGTTTTCCCGCTTGATGAATATTTCAAGGTTGACCAAGGCCTGCCACCCCCCACCACCCCTCTCTCTCTGTCTCTGTCTCTCTTTTTTCTTTCTTTCTTTTTCTTTTTCTCTTTTTCTTATCTTCTTTCTCCGTNCCGCACCCAATCCGGCATAGCCGCGCCCCGCCCCACAGTACGAGCCCACAAAATACACACGTAAGCATGCCGCACAACACCTGTAACACATTTATAAACTACACACACACTTATTACTCCATATATAATACCAAAAGAGAGACACTGTAGTATGCACTCACCACACGTATGACCAGTGACATTGAAATGGGCGATTCTCTATCTAATTTATTTATCTATTTGCTTATCATCCGTTATTTTTCTCTTCCTTCTCCCTTCCTCGTTCTTTCTTTTCTCCTTCTCCTTCTCCTTTTCCTTCTCCTTCTCCTTCTCCTTCTCCTTCTTTAACATTTTTATTCATAATAATCTTGCTTCTTACCCTCGCTCGAGTCCCCCTCGGCTTTCCCCTTCACCCCCTCCCCCTCCTTCTCTTCACCCCCTCCCCTCCCCCTTCCCTCCCTCCCCCTCCCCTTACCTCCACCCAACCCATCCTCCCCCTCCCCTCCTCCTTCCACCCCCTCCCTCTTCCCTTACCCACTCCCTCCCCCTTACCCTTCCATTCACCCCCCCCCTTCCCTCCACCACCATCCCTCCTCCATCTCCCCCCTCCCTTCCTCCCTTCACCCTTCCCTCTCCTTCCCTTCACCCTTCCTCCCCTTCCCTTCAACCCCTCCCTCCCCTTCCTTTCACCCCCCTCCCCTCCCCTTCCTTCACCCCTCCCTCCCCTTCCTTCACCCCCTCCCCTCACCTTTTCCCTCCCCTTCACACCCTCCCCTCCCCCTTCACCCCCTCCCTCCCCTTTCCCTTCACCCCCTCCCTCCCCCTTCCCTTCACCCACCTCCCCCCCCTCCCTTCACCCCCTCCCTCCCCTTCCTTCACTCCCTAACCCTTTTCCCCCCCTTCCCTTCACCCCTCCCCTCCCCCTTCCAATACCCCCTCCCCCTCCCCCCCTTCCTTCACCCCCCCTCCCTCTCACCCCTTCCCTTCAACCCCCCCCTCCCCTTCCCTCACCTCCCCTCCCCCTTACCCCTCCTCCCTCCCTCACCCCCCCTACCTCCCCTCCAGTCCCTCCTGAAGGTGTGGCTGGCACGGGCGCGGAAGACAATAGCGCCGCGTCCTTCGGCCGCACTCAAGGCTCTCCCCCTCCTCCCCACTCCACCTCCCCCCACGCTATCTCCCGCAGCACAATGGCAGATCAGGGTTCCTCGACGCCCCCCACACCCCCCATCCCCCCACCCCACCCCCGTCGTCGCTCCAGGGGGGGGGGTTCCTCGCGAGAAGATTCTACGAAGGAATCCATAGAAGGAAGTTCTTGAGGAAGGAGGCCTAGAGAAGGAGGCCTAAGGAAGGAGTCCATAGGAGGCTTAAGGAAGATCTAAGGAGGAGTCACGAAGGAGTCTAGGGAGGTGAGTCCACAGAAGGAGTCCACAGGAGGATTAAGAAGATCTAAGGAGGAGTCCTAAGGAAGAAGTCCTAAGGAAGGAGTCCACAGAAGGAAGGCCTAAGGAGGGAGTCCCAGAAGGAGTCCTAAGGAAAAGGTCTAAGGAAGGAGTCCACAGAAGGAGGCCTAAGGAGGGAGTCCACAGAAGGAGTCCTAAGGAAGAAGTCCTAAGAAGGAGTCCACAGAAGGAGGCCTAAGGAAGGAAGTCCACAGAGTCCACAGAAGGGAGTCGTAAGGAAGGAGTCCTATGGAAGGAGGAGGAGGAGTGGAAAAAGACGAAGCGTAGCATTAACAAGAAAAAAGAGGAGGTGGTACTGCCTGTTACAAAGAGCAAGGACACGTATGCACCTGCTTCAACATACAGAAAAAATCATTTGTTTGTTTGATATAAGACCTTATCACACATCGGTTAGCTGTGTTGTTTGTTGTTTGTGTGTGTGTGTAAGTGTGTGTGTGTGTGTGTGTGTGTGTGTGTGTGTGTGTGTGTGTTGTGTGTGTGTGTGTGTGTGTCGTGTGTGTGTGTGGTGTGTGTGTGTGTGTGTGTGGGTGGGTGGGTGGTGGGTGGGTGGGTGGTGCGTGCGTGCGTGTGTATTTATTGCCATAAATAACAACTTAAAACTAACAAAAAAAATCGACAAATTTAAAACAAAATATATATACAAAAAACAACTAGAACCTGTGTGTGTGTGTGTTTCCCTCAGACTATTATTATTTATGGAATTGATTTTTAAAAAAAACTAACTTGCCAT